ACAGAAATACATTTCTGTTGTTTATAAGCCACCTAGTCTGTGGTGTTTGTTGTAGCAGCTCGGGTGGACTAAGACAGAAACTGGCCCTGAGAAGGGGCAGGGGCGGGGGTGGCGCTGCTGTAACACATTTGTAAAAAGGTGGAAGTGGCTTTGGCACTGGGTAATAATGGGTTGGGCTGGAAGAGTATGGAGGTGCATGCCAGAAAGGCCTCCATCACTGGGATGGACTTCTGGTGAGGGCCCGGAAGGAAAGGAGGAGAGCTGCAGAGAAAGCCTCCATTTTACAGAATACCTCAGTGATCCTGGGCAGAATGTTGGCAGAAATACGGACAAACAAGACCATGCTGATGAGAAAATGAGGAACATGTTATTGGACAGTGGGAAAAAGGCCATGCTTGTTATCAGCTGGCTGAATTGTGTTAATGTGAAGCAAAACTTAAAGGTTTGAAAAATTCTCAGCCTATCTATATTGCAAAAAGTGAGAAAGGATGTTTGGGAGAGAACACTAAAGGTGTGGCCAAGCGTCCCTTTGATAAGGAGATTACTGTGGGTGTGAAACATAAACGTATTCAGCTGCCCCAGCAGGAAAACTGCCCAGGATGAACTGAAGGGGAAGGAGGTGGGAAGGGATGAAGCAGGCTGTCAGACTTCTTGGATTTTGCAGGACAGGACCAGAAGGCAAGCTACTCTTCAAGACAAAGGAAGAATGACCCTGAAGGCGATTCAGAGATCATCAGCACTGCTTCCTAAGTTTCAAAAGGGAGGACCGTAGCCTTTCTCCCAAAAGGCTGGGCACCTCTGCCAAAAGCCATGGGGGCAGGGCTGCCCAGAGCTCTGGGTATCACCCCTGCTGGACAGAGCTGTGGGGGCAGGATGACCACGCCAGTGGCTTCGGTGTGTGGTCACTGCCCTAGTGCGTCTGGAAGGCCGCCCCAGTAGGCCTAGAGGGCAGAGCATTGAGCCAAAGAGGATTTTTCTTGAGCCTTAAGATCTCATGGAGTTTGCCTCGTAGTTTGGACTTAATTGAGATCTGCTACCCCTTTCTTCTTTCATATTTCTCCCTTGTGGAGTGGTTTATCTTATACCTGTCCCAATATTGTATTTTGGAAGTATTGTAATACGTCATTTGTTTAATTTCACAGGCTCACAGCTGGAGAGCAATTTGTCCCAGGATGAATCGTACCTTGAGTCTCACCCATATCTGATTTAGATGACATTTAGAAAAGACTCTGGATCGTAGACTTCAGAGTTGATTGTGGAATGTGTTAAGACTTTGGGGGCTGGTGGGATGTAATGAGTGAATGTATTTTGCATGTGAGCAGGACGTGAATTTGGGGAGGCCACTGGTAGAATGCTATAGGTTGAATATTTGTGTCCCTCCAAAATTCATATGTTGAAATCTTACCCCCAATGTGATGGTATTAGGAGGTGGGCCTTTGGGGGGTGATTAGGTCATGAATGGAATTAGTGTCCTTACAAAAGAGACCCTGGAGAATTCCCTCACTCCTTCCCCCATATGAGGACATGGCGAGAGGAAGGCCGTCTATGAACCAGGAAGCAGGTCTTCATCAGACACAGAATCTGCTGGCTCTTTGATCTAGGACTCCATGCCTCCATAACTGTGAGAAATAAAATTTCTGTTGTTTATAAGCCACCTAGTCCATGACAGTGTGTTATATTAACAGCAGCCCAAAGGGACGAAGACAGACGTGAACAGATCTGCATTTTGGAAAAGATCTTTGTGGCTGCTGTGGATAGAGGAAGAGGGGGGAGAGGCACGATGAATCCAGGGAGACCAGTAAGAAGGCTGGTCCAGTTGTCCAGGTAAGAGATGATGGTGGCTGTGGACCACAGTGGAGACTGGGAAGATGGAGAGGAAAAATCAACAGGAGCTGATGATGGATTGGATGGTCAGGTGGGAAGACAGAGGTGCGAGAGATGACCTCTGGGATTTACGATTGCAGGACTGGATGGGTGCTGGTGCCATTCATGGAGGTGGAAAACCCTGGAGGAGAACCAAGTCGTGGCTCCAGACTCGGCCTGGCCTCTTGTGCTTTGGGGATATCCAAGTGGAGGCGGCCTGCATGCAAATGCGGACTTTAGCTCAGAGAGGAGATCTCAATTGAAAATGTAAATTTGTTGAGTCATCTGCATGTGGGTAGAAATTGAAGCCATGGCTATAATGGACCTGCTTCAGGAGAGTATACAGGAACGGAAAGTGGGTCCCTTCTTTGGATATAGGAAGGTGAATCTGCAAAGTTGCTAGGTGGAGCAGCCAGATAGGTAAGAGGAGAACCAGACAGTCATGTCATGGAGGTCTTGAAACCTTTGAGAACACAGAGGAAAGCAGTCTGGATTGTGTGCCAGGTGAGGTGCTTTGGGCTGTGGGTAATAGGAACCTGATTCAACTGCCTTAAACAATAAACTCACCTCGCATAGCTTGGAGTCCAGGAGCAGCACACTGAGTGGTTCTGAGGGTGTTTTGCTCATTGGCTCCTTGATGTCATCAAAGACATAGACTTTTACAATGCCCCTGCACTGCCATCCATGCTGTTGGCTTCATGCTATGGCTGGTGCCCTTCATGGTCACAAGATGACATACTTCCCTGTGCAGGTTCAAGGGGAAGAGAGAATGGACATCCTTTCTGTCTCAGCTCGTTTGCGTTGCTGTGAAGGAAGTACCTGAGCTGGGCAATTTATTTATTTATTTCGGCATATTATGGGGGTGCAGATTTTAAGGTTTCAAGAAATGCCCATTTCCCCCCCTCCCCCCAATTTATAAAGAAAAGAGGTTTATTTGCCTCATGGTTCTGCAGACTGTGCAAGAAGCATGGCGCCCCCATCTGCTTCTCGTGAGGGCTGCAGGGAGCTTCCAGTCAAGGTGGAAGGTGAGGGAGGAGCAGGCATGTCACATGGTGAGAAAAGGAGCAAGAGAGAGGAGGTGGCACCAGCCTCCTTTAAATAACCAGCTCTCCCATGAACTAACAGAGTGAGAACTCACTTGTCCTAGGGAGGGCACCAAGCCATTCTTGAGGAATCTGACCCCGTGATCCCAATGCCTCCCACCAGGCCACACGTCCAACATTGGAGATCAAATTTCAACATGAGATTTTGAGAGGCCAAACATCCCAACCATATCACTTTCTTATAAAAGTGAGGGAGCAGAAAAGTTTTCCATAAGCTTCCAGCAACTCTCTCCTTAAGTCTCATTGGCCAGAATTGGGTCATGTGCCCATTTCTGAACCTGTGGGAAATGGTGTTACTCTTACACCAATCATGACCCTCCCTTAAGCTGGTGTCCAGTCCCCCAGCTTGCAGGCTAATCAAGGAAGAAGGGGTGGAATGGATGTTGGATCACCGTAGCTGGGCTGGATATGGCCAATGGGCAGCCAGCATCCATTCCCACTTCCCTCTAGGGTACCTTCTGTATTGCGTGGGTGGAGAGTTTAAAACGACATTTCTCAGACTTTTGTAGCAAGGTACTGACAGTGCATTAAGTTCTGCCAGTTATGTGCACTTCTGTGGGATTTGAATGGCAGAAGGGGGCAGGGGCCATCTTCCTACTATTTTGACTCTTGCTACTGTCAACATGTTCTTGGAGGCACTACGTTTTTCCGTAGTAGGTTTCCAGCGCTGCGCCACCAGCATAGCAGGAGACAGTTACAGAGGCAGTGCCAAGGGCCTCCTGATCCCTGGAGTGCACCTATGGTGCTGTGTTCTTGAACTCAGTCCCAGTGCAGCCTCCTGATTCCCCCTCACCCCCCATGTGATTGTGGGAGAGGCAGTAGCTGTCCTGCTGACAGCAATTCTGGGTTCAAGGGTCCAGCTGAGGGCTCACTCCTTCAGCCCTTGCACAAATTTTGTGAGTAGCCAATTCTCCATATTAAATACTTTCTCCTTCAAAGGGATTTAATACAGGTTTATAAAATCCTAATCTAGAGTAGTTTCTATTCCTGGCACCTAAAACAAACATAAGGGATCCAACAGCCAATCAGGAGCAGCGTGTAGCAAGAGGACTGTGTGGGTGGTTAAAGAATGCAATGGGTGTCTGGGCCCCTCAAAACTCTATTGGAAACTTTGTAGGGGAGTTCCCACAACTGCTGTCATTGTTGGAAACATCTAGCACATTGCTCAGGATGTAACCACTTGTCCAGAGGTGTGTGAAGGCAAAGATGGACAGGCAGTAGGGAGAAAATCTAAAACTTATGAAAGCACTGCTTACAAAAGGAGGACATCCACCATGAGGCCCAGGGGAGGTAGGTTCCAGCCTGCAACCACCTCCCTCCCCAATACCTGGTGAGTCTGTGTTGGGGGTTGAGGGGAAGTAGCAGGGGTTGGTGGTCCCCAGTGAAGTTTTTCGTAAGGCAAGGACAAATTTGTGTTTTGAAGGATCACCAAGACAGCTGACAAGTAGGATGGACTGGTTCTCCGGCATCTTCCTGAACACTTTTGGTGACTGGTAGCTCACAAGCTGTAGGGGCAGCTCATTGTCTTTGGGCAACTTTGCCTGCTGAGCCAAAGGCAGCCTTTTTGCATGCTCACACTTGCTGCGTGCATGACCATATCTGACCAGGGCAGAGGGGTAGGAGACGAAGTGGGGAAGAATATAGGGATTGTAAACTGGCTGTCAACAGACAAATCTGGACCACAGTTGTAATTGTGTGGCAGGTGTAGTTAATTTGAATTGAAAGACATCTTTAAGGTAAGACAGGCTCTTTCCAATTAGTCACGTGCTCCATCATTCCCTAATGTCTTAAGGCAACTCCCTTCATTTGCTTTTATTATTAATCTGGTACTTGGACCCTTATTTGAGGACTATTTGGGATTGAGGATGTCTGGGACCTTGTGGAGGCTAAGGGACCCCTGGGGCTGTGTGACCCCCTGGTGGCAGCCACTGGCTGATCAGGCTATAGAGGAGGAAATGCAGGTGGAAAAATCCCAGTCTCGGATGCCCTCCCCTTCTTCTTCCCCAGCCCAATCACAAGGTCTAGAGGCGCTGGTGAGTGGCCAAAGTCCCTTTAATATCCCTGAATTGCGTTACAAGTAATACTGTTGAAGGTAGGGAAGGGAGGGGAGCCTGGGGGTTCGTTGGGAGAAGAGGAGGGAGGGGGAGCGCCAAGCGCTCATACAAAATATGGCCAAAAGGCTTAGCATGCATGGAAAATTATTGCTGTCAGAAGTTCCTATTTACAGGGTCAACACCCTCCATAATTGCGTCTGCGACCCCTCTTCCCCCGCCATCCCTGCAGCCTCCCTTCCCGCTGGGCCCGGAGCTGGGCCAAGGCCCGCCCACCCCTCTGAAGCCCTAGAGAAGTGCCCCTGCCCCAGGGGCCCCTCCAGTCTCCACCCCCTTTTGTGGCTAGGGTGAGGAAGAGGAGGAGGGTCCGAGAGTCCAGGACTCTGGCCCACAAGCAGGGCGCAGAGCGGCGGGGCAGAGGCGTGTGCTTAAAGCAGAGGGGCCAGGGCCCTTGCGCGTGGAGGCGTGTGCTTCGGTCCTCGCCCGGGCATGCGAAAGCGCGGCGGAGGAGGTAGTGGCGGCCAACGGGCGGGTGGCTGGCAGCCCCGGCCCCTCTGCCCAGGAGAGTTGCATAGACGTACGTGGCCGGGAGGGAGCGCTCCTCCCCGGGAGCGGGCAGGAGGCCCCAGCGGGTCCGGGGCTCAGTCGGTCCCTGGAACCTGGGGTCTCTGAGAAGAGGAATAAATAGGAAACAAATCGAGGAGGCTCCTCTCTCCGGGCTCCATGGAGTTAGAGTGGAAGGCTCAGGACGGCGGGGACCTGCCCCGTGACTGGACCTCCTGATGCTTCCTTGCGCCCCCACCCCCCAAGTTGAAGGTCAGCAGGCTGTCCCTCCCATTCTGGAGTCCCCTCTCTTAGCCAGTTCAGGCCCTGATGAGGGTGGGGCTTCTCCCCGAGACTGTGTGTGTGTGGTGGGGGCAGCTGCTATGGCCTTTGCTGTCCCTCTCTTGCCTGGCTCCCTGACCTCCCAGTCCAGCTGGGGAAGCCAGACTGTCCCTGGGTGAGGCCAAGACATTAAATAGAATAATAAATAGATAAATAAATAAATACACAAATAAATAACTGGAGGGCCCAGCCGGACAAGGGAAGGGCATAGGCGAGGCGCTCCAGACCTTCCCCCAACAAGTAAGGAGGGAGACCTGTAGTCCCGGGGGTGGGGGAAAGTGCTCAGAGATTCTGGGAGGAGGGCGGCTGGGAGGAGGAGATTGGAAGCCCAGGGAAGGGCTGTCCTGGGGTAGGAGAGGGGTTCCATTAGGGGACAGGGCCCTAAACTCCCCCTCAAGTTTGCTCCAGGTTAGGTAAACTCAGAGTGGTGAGACTAGAGGGATGAGAGGATCTGGAGAGGGAAGGGGCTGGGAGTGGGTGATGAGGCCCCCGAAGACTGATAGAGTGGAACATGTGTGGTGGGGTGCGGGTGTGTGTGAGCGTCCCAGGCATGCAGGGGTCTAGGGCAGACCAGCGACTCCAAGAAAGGGGAAGATTAGATCCCCAGATGGACACACACACGGGGAGACTCAGCAGGGGCCAGCGGGAGGGTCTGGGGTTGGATTGTAGTCTGAGGGCTACAGGGCCTGCATCCAGATATGCACAGGGAAACGGAGGCAGGCATGGGAGTCAAGGGTAGGTTTGGGGTTTAGATTGGGGGCTCCAACAGAGGAATGGTCAGAGAGGCTGGGCTGAGAAGCGAGAGAAAAGGTCTGAAAGTTGGGAGAGCGGCGCAGAGTTTGGGGAGGAGAAACTTCTGGCTCTGGGGCCCGGGAGAGGTGCGGACCTGGTGCCTGAGTTGGGAGCCTTGAAGGCGCGGACAGGGGGTTAAGGTCCGAGTGGGGCCCGGAAAAGATGATGTGGGTCGGGGGCGCTAGGGGAGAGCGCAGGAAGAGAACTGTGGGTTTGGGGGCTGGAGAGAAAAGTTCCTGGGTGGGATGGGGGTCCCCTCGAGCGGGGCGGGCAGGAAAACGCAGCTGGGGATTGGAGAGGGCGCTGCGGGCGCAGGTGGGGGACCCGGGGCGCGAGGAGAGCGAGTTCCGGGCGGGAGGCTCAGCTGGCCGGGCCAGCGGGAGGCGGCGGGGGCGGCTCGGCGCCCTTGACGCAGGCGGCCTCGCAGTGCTTGTGGAGGTAGGACTTGAGCGCGAAGCTCTTGTCGCACTGGCGGCAGCGGTAGTGCTTGAAGGCCGAGTGCGTCTGCATGTGCGCGCGCAGGTTGGAGCGGTCGGCGAAGGCCTTGCCGCAGTGCGCGCAGCCGAACGGCTTCTCGCCCGTGTGCGAGCGCATGTGGCCCTGCAGCAGCCAGGGCCGCGAGAAGGCCTTGCCGCACACGCCGCACTTGTGGCGCAGGTTGTGCGTGAGCACGTGCATGGCGAGCGCGGGCATGGACACGTACGCCTTGCCGCACGTCGGGCACTTGCGCGCCAGCTGGCTGTCCAGGCTGCGGTGCGTCTGCTTGTGGCGGCTCAGGTTCGACGACGTGGCGTACGTCTTGCCGCACTCGGCGCACGCGTGCCGGTGCCCGCCGCCCGCCGGCGCCCCCGCGCGCCCCGCGCGCCCCCCGGCGCCGCCGGCGTCCCCCGCGCCCCCCGCGTCCCCGCTGCCCGCGCCCCGTCGCCGCCGCGAGCGCCCGTCCGAGATGAAGAAGGCGTCCATGGAGTAGCTGTCGGTGACGGCCGCCTCCCCGCGGAAGTAGCGCGCCGACAGGCTGGACTGCGGGCTCTCGGGGTCGCTGTACTCCTCCGGCGCCGCGGGCGGGTACGCGGGCTCGGCCGGGGCCAGCTCCAGGCCCGGCTTCTGGTCCGCATCGTAGCTGCTTGCGGGCAGGCAGTGCGGGGCGTAGCCTGGAGGGGCGAGAAGTGGGGAAGTTGAGGCCGAGGCGTGTAGGAGGGCTTCCCTCTCTGGGCAGGTCACCTCCACGCCCTCCAGCTCGGCCTCCCTGTGGCAGGTCTTGGAACACGATGGCTGCTCGTAAGACAGTGGTTGCCAACACGTACCTCAGCTCCACGCGTCACGCCGCCTGGGTTCAAATCCTTCCTGCGCGGGGCGGTACAAATAACCGCCACCCCAGCCTGTGGAGCGCGGGGCTGACATGCTTCTGCTGACTTAGCGTTCACTATGTTAAGTGTCCACTACCATGCAGTGAAGGTCTTAGACCCACTTTGCAGGTAAGAAAACTGAGTCACAGAGAGTCAGTCTAAGCTTACAGGTAGTAAGTGGAGGAGGCAAGATTCAGACCTGGGCAGTGTGACGCCCCCCGAAGTCCATGCTCTTTATTCCAACAACACTCTGCCATTCCAGTTTTACGACTTCTCTGAATCTCGGTTTCCTTGTCTAGGAAATGGAGCTTGTGATTGGACACCTCCTTCCAGGGTCGTTGGAAGGACTGAGTAAAGTGGTGATAATAAACGTGTATTAAGCTCTTACTGTATGCCAGACTCTGCCCTAGTGCTTTACACGTGTTAACACATTTAATGGGCACAGACCCAAGAAGTAGGTACTATTACAATCCCCATTTTATGTATAAGGAAATTGAGAAAGAGGGAGCACACAGTAATTGCTGTATAAATGTTAGCAATTATAATTATGCTTTTTACTTGCGTGAAGATTATTTGTCTGCCACCCCCACTACACTATGAGCTCCCCAGGGCTGGATCTGCGTGCCCAGCACGTGTCTGGCTCAAAGGAAGTGTGTGATGGATAGATGTGGCATAAATGAGTTCCAGCATAATCCAGTTAGACCCACCTCTGAGGGTTGCTGGAGCATTTAAAAGTGGTGGCGTGTGTGGCATGTAGTAGGTGCTCCAGAAAGGGAACTGACTTGTACTTACTCCCCAGCCTGCTTTGCTCTGAGCTCCTCTAGAAGTCTTCCTGAGGCTGCAGTGAGAATTCACCGCCCCTCCTCCTCCCACGTAGCTGGAGTTGGACCAGCAATCCTGCCTGCCCAGGGTTTGAGTGATTGGTGGGTGGACAGGCTGGGGCTCTCCCAGGGGATTCCATCGGGGCTTGTCATGCGCAGGGGCCACCCTGATTTGCCTCTGCCTCCCATGGCCTAGGCTGGCCCTAGCACCTTCCCTGTGGATCCTGGGGGCTGGGCTCCCCAGAGAGTTTCTGGCAGACACAGAACAAACTTATCATCCTGGCACTTAATTACCAAATGTTTCCATTGTCCTTTGATTCTGGGGAACAATGGAGGTTAGGCCCCTATCTGAGGTTTCACAGCTGGGGAGTGACAAATCTCAGGATGTGACCCTCTCCTCTGACCTGCCCCCTCCCAGATCTGTAACCACCCTTCCTCCCTGCACCCTCCCTCACTGCAGTGAGCAGGTGGAAGAGGGCTCTGTAAGCTGGAAACAGGATCCCAGGACGTTCGGACTTAGGGCTGGTACTCTGGTGGGCTTTCATTCTCAAACAGCCTGGCTGATGCAGCCTCCAGACCTTTGCCTCCCATCTGGCATTTGGGATGGTCCCAAGGTCAGGTCTGTGCAGACTGTCCCCTAACACTGAAAGCAAAGGAAGATGTGCCCTTATTTTTTCCTCTGTCCCTTTAGCAGCTAGCACAGGGCCCTCTGCGCACTGAAGTGATTGGGATCGTGGGGAAGGGTGACTCAGTAGGGAAGGGCTCTGTGGTCAGACGAAAGGGGGCAGTGGTGATGGCAGTTTTTTAATCTAGGGGGAGGCAGTGCCTAGCCTCTCAGCACCCCATCCTTCTCCTCCCACCTGCTTTTGGTCTGGGGGTTCCCCTCCCTCCCCAGGAACTAGGCCTAGTACTAGGGTTTTAGAACATTCAGGGAATATTGTTTCAGATTGAGTCAAATGCCAGCTGGGCACTCCCAGACCCTCTACTTCTGTATTTCATTGCATTGTAATGACCGCTGATAATACTAGCTAATATTTATTGAGCACTTACTGTGTGCCAGGCTCTGTGCTAAGTGCTTCCCTCCCATCATCGCACTGAATCGTCACAAAAATACTCTCATTACAAAGGAAACTGAGGAACAGACTGGTGATGGTACTTGCTCAAAGCAGGGAGCAAGGATCAGAAACCACTGCACCACCCCCCTCGTTTCCCACACTGGGGGTCCTTGAGGAAGAGGTTGTGGCCAGGTTGTTTGCCTCCATGCCCAAGGGCCCTAGCGCTCAGTGAGTATTTGTGGAATGAGTGATGAAGATAGTATGGGATTTATTTAGAGGGGGTGACTGATCATGTGACCAATGTCTCATATGTTCTATTTTTTAAGAAGGATGACATATTATTGGTTAAGAACACCACTTGGGTGCCAGAGTGTGCCCATAGTGCGTTCTGGCTTTGCCATTCCCAGCTGTGTGGCTTTGGAAAAACTACTTGACCTTTCTTTGCCTGTGCAGTTTCAGTAAGGAGCCCAGTAGGGAGCAATGTGTAAACAAGTAATAGCCCAGACTCTAGAGCACTGTGTCAGACACTGTTAGAGAGCTTTGCACACACGAATGCATTCTACCTTCGTGACTCTAAGGTAGGTACCATTTTACAGATGAGGAAACCAAGGCATGAGGAAGCCAAGTAACTTGCCTAGGGTCATGCAGCTAGTAAGTGAGAGCCAGGATTCTGGCCTGGTGCCTGGCATTTGGTAAATCCACAATACACGTTGGCTGTTATTGTGAATAACAATAACAGTCTCCCCAGGTGGGTTTCTGTGCTGCAGTTTTCTTGGCGCCCACCCCAACACATCTTGCTGCTCCTCTCTGGACCTCTGGTTCCTCATCCAGGATGTGTAATTTCTACCCGACGTTCTGATGAGAAAGTTTCTGGTGCATAGTAGGAGCTCAAGGAACCAGGCAGTTCTCAACTGGGTGCTCTTTCCTTGGCGCCCTCTGCTGGCGGCCTTCAGCACTGTCGTACCTTATTCCCGTTGCTAAGGGCTCTTTATACCCAAACAGGGTTGCCTGAGACAAAGGCTGCTTATTTCCTTAGGGACTGATGTGGAATTATCTTCAGGACAGGAATTGTGGGCCCAGAGCAGGTCCCCATTCTGTGGAGTTTGGCATGGGTTGGGAGCATCATGAGCATACATGACCACATGAGTCTGTGTGGTCATGTAAGGCACAGGTGGTTCTAACTTGCTTTGTGACTGTGCCAGATTGCTTAACCTCTCTGGGCTGGGTGTGTGCGCAAAGAAGGTTGGCTGGGGTGCTCTGAAGACCCCTTCTGCATCATGGCTGAATCAGGCCCTCCATGATGGTCTTTGTGGATGGGGGGGGGGCGTCCCTCCTCCAACTTCACCCCCTTCTCTCAGATCCACAGACCTCTCCATAGGTGACCTTGGGCAAGTCACTCACTTAACCTCTTTTTGTCACATCTATATAAGGGAGTTCATAATAGGATCGAATAAATTAATGCATGTAAAGTGCGAGTACAATACTTGGCACATAATAGCTGGCCTCTCAAGCTGTTAGTATTATTGTCATTATATTATTCTTGCATTTCCTGGTGATAGCCTTCTAATCTGCCGGAAAGGAGGAGATACACATTGGTGTCCCAGGCACCTCTTTGGGCCTCAGCCCTGGAGAATCCTTTAGGATGCTATCGGCCATGCTCAAATCTTGCAGATGGAACCCAGACAGGTTTTGGGTGTCTCCCTCTGCCCCAGTGGTGACTCTGGAAGGCCGAGTTGCCTGCCCTCCAGGGTGAAACAGCTGTTTGGGTCCTGACAGAGGTAGGGAGGAGCTGGGATCCAGAGAGAAGAGACCTGGCTCTTACCTGGCCCTTGTACTCAGACCCTAGCTGTGTGGCCTTGGGCAAGTCACACAGCCTCTCTGGGCTTCAATCCTCCATTTGAGGGATGGGGAACAGAGCCACCCCCTCCATGTATGGATATATGTTGGGCCCAGGAGTACTTTGGAAATGTGCACATGTCGCCTGAGAATGACTTTGGTTTTTCCTGCCCAAGAGTCTTGATATTTTAGACTTAAGGTCCAGAATCCATTAAAAAATTTTTGTAACCCAAAGGAGTGGTGGGAAGGGACATTTTTGAGGATTAAGGTGTAGGCCCGCTGTAGATACTATCTCATCCAACTGCCTGGAGCGGGGTGGGGGGGTGGGGGTCAGACACCGCACTGTGCCCAGCACCCAGAGAGGGGAAAGGATTTGCCCAAGGTCACTGGAAGGGGAGTCAGGTTTGAAACCCTCCAAAGCTGGTGTTTTTTCCAGAACAACCAGGAGGGCAATGGAGACCTGCTGGGGAGAGACGGTTTTCAATTGGTTGGGGAAGGGATGGTGGGTTTCCTCAAAATAACACCTCGCATCTGGCCTGTGTCTTATGGGAGCGTTTGGGGTATGAAGCAACCGTTGTAGAGAATGCTCCAGCCCCTTGTAAATATTTGTAAATAGTACTTAATAACAGTTATGACTAACACTTATTGAGCACTTGGTGTGCGCAAGGCACTGCTAAGTGCAATATGCACATCAGCTCACGTCCAGGTTCACTTCCTCCCATGCCCTTGTACTGCAGAAGCTGAAGCCCGGAGAGGGGCCCTGACCCACCTCAGGTCACCGCACAGGTCCTCCTCAGGACTGGGCCGGCCTCCTTTCTTTGTTTAATAAAGCCAGTCCACACCTCCTTTCCGTCTCTCCCTGGCTCTCAGGGTGCCAGGCTTCCTCCAGGGAGTTTCTAGTCCCAAAGCCACCTCCCTGTCCCAAGATGGGCAGGAAAGGAGAGGGCCCTGGTGGTGGGCCAGCTTCCCAGGCGGCCCACTTTCCCGAGGAGGGCCGGGCCTGCGGGCGGTGGGGCTGGAGGGCTGCTGCTCGGGTATATTTAGAGCTGCCTCTTGCTGTGCCAGGGCCTCGGGCCTGGAGAATGAGCTCCAG